TGTGGCTTTCCTGGCCAACAGAGATGTTAAAAAATAGCAGAGCCTTCACTGTCCTGCAGTTAGGATTTCTGAGACATCTTCATCCAACAAGGAAAGTCTTGTTTTTTCACAAGATTAGTGACTCTGCAGTTTTAGGATAAATTTTTAAAGTCAATTAAGACGTCCCCACTTTTGCCTAGAATAACCTGCCCTCCATCAAATTGCCTTCAAGTGAGGCCTCCTCCTGGCATTTTCTCCCTCCGGCACAATCTTGGAACATGGTATGCCCTTAACACGCCTTGAAATCCTGTATTTTGTATTGCTAGTGTTAATGCAACGTGCTTTTTATAGCAAATACATTCCTCCGATAAATGTCACTTAGAAATGGATTCCTGTTTTCAAAGCCCCAAACTGGGGGCTGTGATGAAGCCAAGCTCTGGGCAGCTCCCGACGTGGGAAGGTTTCCAGCTCTTTCTGGCACCGAGTGACTCCTTTGCCAGTCCTCCAAATACCTTCACCCTGCAGGTCACAGCCCAACGATACGGCATCTAGCAGGACTGTCGGTGTTCTGTCAACATCAGCATATTGCAGATGTCCAAGATCTTTGTCATAAAACCATGTATGAGTAACTACATTATTTGTTTATCTTTTGGAAATGGGTTTGCCCTGTAGCTATTTATCGGAAACCTCTGATGAAGTCCTTAGGATTGGGGGAAAAAGCAAATGTATCCCTGAATTTATCTAGTTTCCAATGTGGGATTTTACTGAACCATATTTATATTTCTTTCTATTGAGCTTAGTAACTGTTATAAAGAGTGTGCACATTTGTCATTGTGTTCAATATTAGGTATGTCATATTAGGTGTGTAAGTTAAACAGTATTTCAACATGGGATCTTGCCTCATACTCACTTTTAATATAGTCGGGGCTGGAGAACTTCAAATCCCAAAACAGTAGATGAAAAGTAAAGGGCAGAATCTGACCAAGTGGATAAAAAGAGACATGGAAGCCCAGCTGGTGTGGCTCAGTGGTTGAGCGTCGACCTATGAACCAGGAAGTCACGGTTCAATTCCAGGTAGGGCACATGCCCGGGTTGTGGGCTCGATCCTCAGTAGGGGGTGTACAGGAGGCAACTGATCAATGATTTTCTCTCATCATTGATGTTTCTATCTCTCTCCCTCTCCCTTCCTCTCTGAAATCAATAAAAATATATTTGAAAAAAAAATACATAATACATATAATTTACATAAACCTACCAGCAAAGTGCTTGGTACATGCCCCCCCAATGTAGACCTCAAGATTCCTTCTAATTCTACGATTCTATGTTAAATACATATGTCATTTATGTATAGATTTGTATGTTAAGGAATTGAAAATGTTTAATGAAAGTAAATGGAGATTAAATATAATGCAGAACCATGTAACTCCTAATGTCTGCTTTCTCCGGAGCTCACTGAGGCCATTGCAAATGAAGACATTCCAGCTGCCATCTTTTCTCTTTGGTGATGTCTGTGCCTCTTCTCATGAAGCTGTGACTTGTGTCTGGCCAACTGGTGTGAGTGATGCTCAATGCCCTTGAGGCCAACCTTGGGCCACTAGAAGTCTGAGGGTTAATGCGTGTGCAGGGGAGCCAATGTGTTGCATTTACATGTATTACGCGTGAAGTGACATAAATAGACCATAATTTTTAAAAAGATGGAAAAAATAGAAATAGGTGATAAAGAAGCACTATATAGAGATTCAAATTTTCGAAAGAGGGCAGCTCTGTAACTAAAGGAGCGCAGTTAAGAATAGCACTTCCCACACTGCTTCCTCCCTGGGCTTCGTCTGCTCTTTAGGGAACATGACTTTAGTGAAAAACCCCAGCTGAGAAGATTTTTGAAATGTAGTTCCCATGGCAACAGGCTCTGAAGTGACATAAATCCAGAGGAACTTTGCTGGGTGGTTCTATCATCCAAACAAGGATCCTCCAAAGCTCAGGCAGAAAAGTCAACTTGTAATGAAGCTTGAGTCTTCTCTGCTTTCTGCGCCTCAGGGAGCCCTTTTCCTATGGGGCTTGTTGCAGGTTTGTAATAAGGATTTCTTTTCTTCCGTTGTGATTTGATGACAGGGGTTGGGGTGTATTGTTATCACCATGGCCGCGGCAGATTTCTCAGTGTGAGATTTCTGCTTTAGGCCTGTTGTTGCTGAGCAGTGACCAAGCTAGATCCCCGTGTGGAGGACTGGCAAGCAAATGTCACCCAACACTTACACATACAGCACGTACACAGGACAGATACAGGGGTTGTCATTATCTTGCCAAGTAGCACAGGCAACTGCCAACGTGCCTCTGATTATAAACCCCGTTCATGATGACTCCAGCTCTCCCATCCTGACCAAAATATACCTCTCATCAATTGAGTGCTGTGTGAAATTCCATCATGAGAGATCCGTTTGTGGGTTAGAGATGTTGTCTTCATTATTACTTTTTTAATGAATGGAAGAGGGTCTGGAATGTGGATGATCTTTATAAGATGGTGCTGATGAACGTGTGAGCTCTTTCCTGAGAGCGGGTTTTAATGGAGAATCAAAGGCAGAGCAGGTATTAGGACTCCGAGTATTTGGGGAGGAGGAATGTTGACTGAGATTAGAAATGGGTACAGAAAGAGAAGGTTGGAGACGGTCAAGGAAACCTCTCCTGACTTTGTAATTTGGCCTTTGTGGTACGGAAGAGTGTGGCTATTTGAAAAATAGGGCATCGGTGGTGAGACAGGAAGTAGGGACAAGGTAAATAGTCGAGGGCCTTGAACCTGTCTGTGGATTAAGCATGTTGGAGAGATGGACCTGAGATAGAGTTTTGAAGAAAAGATATTCCTTCAGAGCTCCGCTAACTTCTGTCAGCTCTCCCCTCCCACCTTACAGTGGCCTCCCGCTGGCCCCTTTCAGCATGATCTAGCTCTTAGCAATCCTTTCCTCTAAGCCCCCAAAATGTGATGTGGCTGTACTGAGCTCAAGTAAGACTGAAAGACTGGGATACAGAGGGATAAGTTTTGCCATGAGAGAGGGGGAGTTAGAAACAGATCAAAGCCAGCAAGACAGCGAAACAAACGTTGCTGGGTCCAGTGGGATGAAGGACATCAAGCTACAAGGCCGTCACCCTGAGGGTCACTCTGAGCGTCCTGGAGCCTGAAAGGGAGCTGGGAGGTTAGAGGACGGTGCCCATCGAGGAGAATTCCAACAGTTAAGCAGTTGGGGGTGGGGCCGGGGGGGGAAAACAGTTCTTAACTAATGGGGATTGTTTTTCACTGTCAAGTTCAAATTCCAAGAGATGAGAGAGAAGATTTGCTTCTCCCTGGACTGGTATTGGGCAAGTCCTGTGATACACTGAAATGTAAGTGGTGTGTACAGCGCATTCCTTGAACTTACATAGCATTTTATTTTTACCCTTTCTAGATCTTACACTTTTTTTTGCATATTTAGTTATATGTGTTCTCTCATCTTTTCCAAGAGAATGTCAGAGCCTTGAAGGCAAGATTTTATACATTCCACTAGAGGCCCGATGCACGAAATTTGTGCAAGGGGCTCAGCCCTCGCAGCCGCAGTGGCCTGTCTCAGCCCTCGCAGCCTTGGCTTCATCCAGAAGGTCGTCCCGGAGGTCGTTTGGCTGTCCAGTCTAATTAGCATATTATGCTTTTATTATTATAGACTATTTCTCACAGGGAGACATTAAACACTGTTGTTAAGAATGCCTGATTTGTAGTTACATCTGTTAAATTACAACTCTAAAATGGGAGTGATAAAACCCAGGTAATAAGATTGAAGGGAATTAAAATGAAGTATTATATTTAAACTAGAGGCCCGATGCATGAAAATCATGCAAGAGTAGGCCTTCCTTCCCCTGGCTGCCGGCACCGGCTTCCCTCTGGCACCCAGGACCCGGGCTTCCCTCGAAGCCAGGAAGGATGGAAGGACATTGGGTCTAATTAGCATATTACGCTTTTATTATTATAGATGGTATTGATCCTGGCACACTGAGGTCAGTAAGTGTTAGGACAGGAAGCGTGTTGGGGACACATAAGAAGTGTGCAATAAGGGATAGCTGATTATTTTTGCACAATGCTTTGCATTTTACTGAGCAGATGTTCATTGAACAAATAATGTTTTTAAACCCCCACTCAGATATTATCAAGGGGATAAGCAAAAGTTCCTCCTTTTAAAGTTAGTTTCTAGGGGCTGTGATCCCAGGGGAACCTCTGGCTTCCTACTTCTAATCAGGTCCCCAGATCTCTAAACCCAGAAGAAAACTCCGTTTCCTGTCACCAGCTGGCACTGATCACAGGCAAGAATGCTGGCTCCCTTCCCCAAACCCCAAGATAGAAAAAGCCTCAGGGCAAAGCCTCAAACAGCTACCATGGTTCTTTAGCTCCTTTAGCTCAGAAGGAATTCTAAGTCAGTCCAAGCAGGACAGAAGCTACAGGACTGTTGTTAGTACCTTCATCCGGGTTAGCATTGTGACCAGTTAGTTATCTGTCTGAACGGCTAAGGAGAAGGTGCACCCCTGAAACTTCAGGCTGAAGGCGGGTGAGTGACTGAATCTGGGACGAACTCTTCCTAAGCCGCCCACCTCAGGTGGTAACGGCCTGAAGGAAGATCGCCTTGCCTTTTCACTGTCTAACTTGACCGTGAGGTGCACGCTCCAGACAGTGGGCCTGGCTCTAACCTCCGAGAGGACTTTCCCCAGAGATTGAGCACAGCTTTGATAAACTCGGGCAGAAACCAGAGTAGGAAGGACACAATAAATGGGCCAAAGGAAAGCTCTGGAAGCTCCTCGGTGCATCCTGGGGACCCTCACTGCGGAAGCAGGTCCCCCTCCGGAGGCAGAGTCCAGGGCGTTGGGAGAACAGACCCCAGGCATCCAGAAAGCCTTTCTGCTGAGGTCCAATGTCTGCCTGAGGGGATCTAATTCTCAGGAACGGGGAGGTGACCGGGAGGGCAGCAGCGTCTCTCTCTCTCCCTTTGTTCCACAGAACGCCCTAAGCGAGGATGGTGGCTGAGAATTCCTCTGTGACGGAGTTCATCCTCGCAGGCCTAACCCACCACCCGGGGCTCCAGCTGCCCCTCTTCTTCTTGTTCCTGGGCTCCTACATGGTCACGGCGGTGGGGAACCTGGGCTTGCTCACACTGATCGGGCTGAGCTCTCACCTGCACACCCCGATGTACTTCTTCCTCTATAATCTGTCCCTCATAGATTTCTGCTATTCCACCGTCATCACTCCCAAAATGCTGATGAGCTTCGTCTCGGAGAAGAACGTCATCTCCTACGCAGGGTGCATGACTCAGCTCTTCTTCTTTCTTTTCTTTGTCGTCTCCGAGTCCTTCACCCTGTCAGCGATGGCATACGACCGCTACGTCGCCATCTGTAACCCGCTGCTGTACACGGCCACCATGTCTCCCCGCGTCTGCTTACTTCTTTTGTCCGGGGTCTACGTGATGGGGTTTGCTGGGGCCATGGCCCACACCGTGTGCATGGCCAGACTGACCTTCTGTGCCAACAATCTGGTTGACCACTACATGTGTGACATCCTCCCCCTTCTGGAGCTCTCTTGCACCAGCACCCACGTGAACGTGCTGGTAGTTTTCGTGGTGGTGGGCATCGACATAGGTGTGCCCAGCCTGACCATCTTCATTTCTTACGCCCTCATCCTCTCCAGCATTCTCCATATTCGTTCCACCCAGGGCAGGTCCAAAGCCTTCAGCACCTGCAGCTCCCACATGATTGCAGTTTCTCTTTTCTTTGGGTCCGGGGCATTCATGTACCTCAAGCCATCTTCTCTTTTACCTCTGAGCCAGGGGAAGGTGTCTTCCTTGTTCTACACCATTGTGGTGCCGATGCTCAACCCCTTAATCTACAGCCTGAGGAATAAGGATGTCAAAGTTGCTCTGAAAAAAACCTTAAGCAAAAAAACAAATTCATTCTCCTGAGAAGGGAGCAATAGGGACTTTAGGAAAGGCACTGTTTTCCTTCCACAGATGATTCAGGTTTCGTTGGCTGCATGGAAGAAGTTTCAACTCTTTCTCAAACAAGTTTAGCCTTCCCATTTTATTTTATTTTAATATATATTTTATTGATTTCAGAGAGGAAGGGAGAGGGAGAGATAGAAACATCAATGATGAGAGAGAATCGTTGATCAGATGCCTCCTGCACCCCCCACACTGGGGATCGAGCCCACAACCAGGGCATGTGCCCTGACCGGGAATCAAGCCGTGACCTCCTGGTTCATAGGTCAATACTCAACCACTAATCCACACCAGCCAGGCTATCCTTCCCATTTTAAATGTCCTTTAATTTTTAAATATTCTTAAGATTATAGGATACATTTTGTAGACCTTAAGAGTCTTTTAGCCCTAACCGGTTTGGCTCAGTGGATAGAGCGTCGGCCTGCGGACTCAAGGCTCCCAGGTTCGATTCCGGTCAAGGGCACCTTGATTGCGGGCACATCCCCAGTGGGGGGTGTGCAGGAGGCAGCTGGTCGATGTTTCTAACTCTCTTTCCCTCTCCCTTCCTCTCTGTAAAAAATCAATAAAATATATATTTTTTTAAAAGAATCTTTTAATTCAGTTCTCTCATGTTTCTGAGAATAGATACAGGCCTGGGCACCTTCCCTGAGGTCACTCAGTTACTCAGCAGCAGAACTGGGAGGAGAATCCAGGCTCTTGGTTTCTAACATCGCTTGCGATGGCTCCTTTTCTTTCTCCCGTAGCCCTGGACGCTTTCATTTCAAATGTGAGCTCCTCTACGACGCTAAAATCTAGTCCCGTCTACGGAAATTAGTCAAGGGCTAATTTTAAATATCACATTTTTGCAAGAAAGTAGGAGGTTTAGGATTTGGTTGATTTGGTCTTGGCTAAATGACCAGACAAGTTCTGGAAGAATTCTACAGAGTGTGCGGGGGAAGTGTGCTAGGACCCACGAAGTGTCAGCGTGGCACCGCCGCAGACCGTCGTGTGCAGCATCGGGCACTTGGACTTAAGGGATTGGGCAGTGCTAGGAGGAAGACCTTATACATGTCAAGGTGATGAAGGACAGGATTTGGGAATGACTTCCACACAATCGTTTCTTTGCTCCATTTCAAACTGTGCTTGTAAAGTCGGGGGGAAGAAGTCTGCAGCTCCCAGCTCAGATAAGGATCTGGAGGTGATTTCAGAAGCACAGAGAGCCTTGTATCACCAGCCAGTACTCAGATTAGCGCCAACCAGCAGGTGGTCAGAAGTAGAAATGACTGTTACCACTGACTGTTACCGTACTGTGTGAGGTGGGGGGTAAAACAGGGGGTGGGAGGGTATTCTCTGTGGACTTCCCCAGGTCTGCTTTCCAGGACCTTATCCAAGTCCTGGCAGCCATTCCCTAATGGATCTTGCATCAACACCTTTATCTTTATCTCTTGCCCTCTGGTTTCCGGTTGGGATAGGCCAACGACAGCGTCCAGCATGGGCAGAGGAATCAGCGGGTAGGCGTGTGCTGCTGTGAGTTCACTTCCCTGACTTCCTCCCAGCGGGGCTACACTGTCAGTCACCCAGCGCCCAGTCCTTCCTGGTCACAGCGCCTGCTCCGTCCTCTGTCTTCATGCCGGTGGGTGGGGGTGTGTCTGCCTTGGGAGCCTTAGGAGCCCTGTGTCTTTTCTCTCAAGCAACCTTGGGGGCCCCCCACCCCACCCCCACCCCCACCCCCGCACACAGTTCCTTCCTTATATGTTTCCATTACTCTGTTCGGGGAGTCCTCTGTTGCCTGCTGGGGCCCTGACTGGTACTTTTTCCAGGAGAGGATGGGGAGTTGCACAGCTCAGGTGTGGAAATCCACCTCCCAGTGGCACTTAAAGGCAGGCAGCGGTGCCTCTTGGTTTAAAAGAAAAATGTAAGTGAAAATTTTTGTGAAGCAACGATATGTGAGATGCTGTGAACACACTTTTGACTTACCAGGTTCTCTTTGGGAAGCTGCTCTTGTGTCTGGAAAAATGACGTTTGGGCGGATAGAGAGTTTTGCCTTTGGGATGGCACCGGTCAGCAAACAAGAATTCAAAAGAATGAGAGTGAAGCGAGAGAACGGGGCTTTAGGCGGCCCGGAATCGGTGGGCAGCGCTGGATGCGGGCGACTGTGGCGGGGAAAGGAGACCAGACAGACGCAGAAAGAGCAGGGACGTAGGAACTGGAGGGTAGAATCAGATTTGAACTCTCAGCTTTCACTCTGCAGCCGTGTGACCGTAACCAAGTTACTCGATGTCTCTGAGCATCAATGCCTTTACCTTTAACTTTTTTTTTTTTTTTAGAATTACTAAGACAATGAAATGATAAGTGCTCAGTTAATTTTCTTTCCATCCCTGCTAGGCCCTCTGCCTCCTGCTATCAACATTTCCACAGATTTATTGTTTGGACTTGAGGCAAGTATTTGCTCTTTCTGTGCTCATGCCCGATTCTCTGAAAATGATTATGCTCCATCAGATTATTTCTGCATTCCATCCCATATATATTGTATATTGACCGAGTAGCACATGTTCATTTAAAATTATTACCAAAGAGAGAAAAAGCTCCTTCTACTACAGTTTTCTGGCCCTCCCGTCTCTTCCCCAGGGCCCATCCCAATTGCCTGTTGGTTGTATATTTTTAGATGGTTGGGGGCATGTAGGAGGCAGCCAATTGATGTTCTGATCTCACATCAATGTTTCTCTCCCGCTCTCCCTACCTCTCTCTCTAAAAATCTTTTAAAAAAATTACTGTGCCATTGGTTCCTTAGATGTTAAAAACATCAGAATTATTATTGGTGTCGCCTACATTGCACTTAAAAAGCTAGCCAGATGATTCATTAAATGCATTTCTGTTTACCTGGCATAGAAACTTATTATCCATTCTACTAACTAGCGTAATTTAGCTTATTAAAGCAAAGAGGAGTCATCAAAGAATTGAATGTTTAAAAAAAAAGTTGTGCAGGAGTATGAAAAATTGTCTCTGAAATGTAACACATGTGTTTATTTTATCCTCCAAACCCCATCGGAACAACATTTCCTTGGAAGGGGAAAGATGGTTTAAAATAAAGCAAAACATGGAGGGAGAGTTTGTGACACCCCTTTCCAAAGGTAATTTTGACAGGTGTGTCTGCCTTCATCTCAGGGATCTGAGAAAGGTGCCCCACAACCTGGGGTGCTTCCCCCGTCCCCACTCCCTGCACACAGCCTCCTTAATCTCCAGTCCCCTTATACCATCCAGGCTTGTTCACTGCAACGGCAAGCGTCAGTCCTGGTTAACTTGGGACAAAAAAAAAAAAAAAAAAAAAAAAAAAAAAAAAAAGTGTTACTTGGCAAGAAATGGGACTCTTAGTTCATAGACTCTTAGAACAAGCTGAGGAACCAGCTCTTGGAGCCAGGAAGGATTGAGAGGAGGCCAGGGGTGGAATTGCAGCCAAGCTACAGCACAGAGCCATCTGGTCAGTCTGTGCTGCCCCCTCCTGCTGGCACCACCAGTCCCAACGTGTGTCATCAGTTGCTAGAGTCTTTATCTTTGTCTTTGCCAACATGAATGTTCCTGTTTCTTTGTGTCGCTTGCCCCACACTTTGGTCCTGCCTGGGAACGTGACTGGTGGAGTTCAGGTCTTATCAGTGATGGCGAACCTATGACACGCGTGTCAGAGGTGACACACGAACTCATTTTTTTGGTTGATTTTTCTTTTGTTAAATGGCATTTAAATATATAAAATAAATATCAAAAATATAAGCCTTTGTTTTACGATGGTTGCAAATATCAAAAAATTTCTAGATGTGACACGGCACCAGAGTTAAGTTAGGGTTTTCAAAATGCTGACGCGCCGAGCTCAAAAGGTTCGCCTTCACTGTCTTACGTTTTCTGGCGAGATTTCACGGAAGGAGGCCTGGTCCTGGCTCCAACCAAGGCTCACACAAGAGTACGTTCTCAGGGCGTTTATTCCTTCCTAAACACCAAAGGAGGTTCAGTGTGGGACAGTCACAGACAAGCAACTCTTTTTACCCCTTCTTACATTTTAGTTTTAAACCTGAATTTCACTTCCTCAGGGAGGCTTTCCCTGAGTTTCCAGGCTCAGGAGGGCATCCCTGTTAAATGGTTTCAAAGCCCCCCCCCCCCCCCCCCAGAGCTTCTTGCTCGCACCCTTATTGCATTTCTAATGAGTTATGTGTAAGTATCTGTTTATTGTAGGTTTCTCCATCTGGATTATATATTTGAAAGGGGAAGAGCTATAATGGTTTTGATTGCTGCTTTATTCTTAAAGCAAAGCACAGGGTCCAGAATGTGGTAAACGCTCTTTCCATATCTGTTGGACCTTCTCCATTTCTATATTTCTTAAATTATATTTCTTTGTTACACACTCCTTCCTCCTCACCCCCTTCAGCTGATGCTGACTTCTGGGTAATTTCTGTAGATCTACCCTCCAGTTTACTTATTTTCTCTGCACCCGTGTCTAATAGGCTATTTAACATATTCATAGAGTTTTAAATTTCAACTATCGTGTTTTCAATTCTAAAAGTTATATTTGACTTTTTAAAAGTCTGCCTTGTTAATTTTATTGTTATCTTCATCTGTAACTCTCAATTTGCTCTTTTTTTCCTTGAACAGATTAAGTACATTTAAATTGTATTCGGTCCCTGATAAGCCTAGCAAATTCGCAGGTCTGTTTCTGTAGCTTGTGGTTCATCTTTCATGGTAATTCTCATTCCTAGTGGCCCAATTTGTGTTTGTTACGTGATTTCCATTAAGGGCTCATGATCTTTGAATACTTATGGATTTATACATATGTATAAATATCTGATGTGTACGTATCTGGATTTAAAGTATATTCTCCAGAGAGGAATTTTTTTATTACATGTATAATATGGGTTTTTTTCTTATTACATGTATAATTTCTAACCACACAGAAGTGGTTAGAAATTCATAGGGGATATTTTTTTTTCTTCTTTCCACTC